ATTCCATCTTTTTTCTTCTTCTTTTTCTATTCCACCTTTTCTTCTTCTTCTTTTTCTATCTCCATCTTTTTTTTTATTCTTTTCTATCGCCATCTTTTTCTTCTTTTTTTCTATCTCCATATTTTTCTTCTTCTTTTCTATCTCCATCTTTTTCTTCTTCATTTCTATCTCCACCTTTTTCTTCTTCTTCTTTTCTATCTCCATCTTTTTCTTCTTCTTTTCTATCTCCATCTTTTTCTTCTTCTTTTCTATCTCCACCTTTTTCTTCTTCTTTTCTATCTCCATCTTTTTCTTCTTCTTTTCTATCTCCATCTTTTTCTTCTTCTTTTCTATCTCCATCTTTTTCTTCTTCTTTTCTATCGCCATCTTTTTCTTCTTCTTTTTTATCTCCATCTTTTTCTTCTTCTTTTCTATCTCCACCTTTTTCTTCTTCTTTTCTATCTCCATCTTTTTCTTCTTCATTTCTATCTCCATCTTTTTCTTCTTCTTTTTTATCTCCATCTTTTTCTTCTTCTTTTCTATCTCCATCTTTTTCTTCTTCTTTTCTATCTCCACCTTTTTCTTCTTCTTTTCTATCTCCATCTTTTTCTTCTTCTTTTCTATCTCCACCTTTTTCTTCTTCTTTTCTATCTCCATCTTTTTCTTCTTCTTTTCTATCTCCACATTTTTCTTCTTCTTCTTTTCTATCGCCATCTTTTTCTTCTTCTTTTTTCTATCTCCATCTTTTTCTTCTTCTTTTTCTATCTCCATCTTTTTTCTTCTTTTTCTATCTCCATCTTTTTTCTTCTTTTCTATCGCCATCTTTTTCTTCTCCACCCATTTTTTTTTCTTCTTTTCTATCTCCATCTTTTTTCTTTTTTCTTTTTTTTCTATCTCCATCTTTTTCTTCTTCTTTTCTATCTCCACCTTTTTCTTTTCTTTCTATCTCCATCCTTTTCTTCTTCTTTTCTATCGCCATCTTTTCTTCTTCTTTTTATCTCCATCTTTTTTTCTTCTTTTTCTATCTCCACCTTTTTCTTTTCTTCATTACTATCTCCATCTTTTTTCTTCTTCTTTTCTATCTCCATCTTTTTCTTCTTCATTTCTATCTCCATCTTTTTCTTCTTTTTCTATCTCCATTTTCTTTTTCTTTTCTTCGCCATTTTTTCTTTTCTTTCTATCGCCATCTTTTTCTTCTTTCTTTTTTTCTTCTTCTTTTCTATCTCCATCTTTTTTTATCTTCTTTTCTTCTTCTATCTCCACCTTTTTTCTTCTTCATTTTTCTATCGCCATCTTTTTCTTCTTCTTTTCTTCATCGAAATCTTTTTTCTTCTTTTTCTTCTATCTCCATTTTTCTTTTTCTTCTTCTTTTCTATCGCCATCTTTTTCTTCTTCTTTTCTATCGCCATCTTTTTCTTCTTCTTTTCTATCGCCATCTTTTTCTTCTTCTCTGCTCTCTTTTTTCCTCCCTCATCATGGCTATATCATTTTTGATTTCTTAATACTACGATGTGCGTTCGGGGTGTCGTTGTTTACGGGATCCTGCAATTAGCATCAGTTCTCACCACCGGCTGGGCTCTTTATCGTCGGACGAGCCGAGTAATATCCAGTCCAGGATTTTTGCGTGTTTTCAGAGAAACAAAAAAAAAAATAAATAAATAAATGTGATTTAAAGATGTTTACGAGGGACAAGAAGGTCGAGAACCTCCACCTGGGATCCCCCAGACAGCTTCAGCTTCCCCCACCACTCCGGGGGGGGGGGGGCGAACTGTCGGCATCATCGACTAGAACGGTTGCGACCGGGACATCAGCAAAACGCGAGAAAATAATGATGATAAACATAAATATGGCGCAAGGCTGAAAGTATGGGGCACCCAGTGAGGATCGAACTCACTCAGTTATGTGCTATGCGTAATAGACGCGTATGCGATCAAATATTATGACTGACGAGGCAGATTTTTCCCGCAGTAGACCAGTTTCCATCCAAGGCTATAGAACTCGGTGAATTTACCATTGCTGGGTGTGGAGAAGAAGAGGATTCATACCTTTAACAAAGGTATTAGCAAGTAAGTGAATGTAATGGATTCTACTGGAATTCGAACTCGGCTCTCCGATTTTTCAATCCGAGCCGCTATCCATTACTCCACCGTGGCTCACAACTAAGTCGTAATTGTTCTAGTGAGAATTACATTACATATACAACATTACACCGCGTTGAGGTGTCGGCACCTACCACAATTACATAGAAAGTGAACGCACCGGCGGGACCCGTAAAGCGTGCTACGACAGGGTCCGTCGAATTGCGTGCGAGCCTAGTCAGCCTCGACCTCCCAGTGAGAGGAAAAGGAGAGACTGGCTGTACGGGTATAGGCGTTTGATAGCTTCCATCTCGTGCCCGGGCAAAAGAAAAAAAAAAAAAAAGCCATCACGACGCGAGACGAGGTTTCGATCCGCCAGTCAGGTTTCCCCGGCCTAAAGCGTGTAGTATTAGTAATACCGTCGAAGGTGAAAAATACAGCAGAGAAGAGAACGAAATGATCAACCAGATCCGAAAATGGCGTCGTGCTGTGATATTTGGGCGGGAGATGCCCAGTCGTCATTTTCCAGCCGAGATAGATTTCAAAAGCCTCTCCGAGTCCTTGTGAGTGACGAATTATTTTCCCCCTTCCAATCTCATCTCTGTCTGTCTGTCTCTCTCTCTCTCACTCTCTCTTTCTTTTTTTCTCTCTCTCTCTCTCTCTATATATATATATATATATATATATATGTCCTTCTCCCCCCCCCTCTCTCACTCACAGGCGGGATGTTGCGAGTCTCTTTCGTCTCTATCGCTACTTCCATGGAAAGTGCTCGGACGAACTACATTCATTGGTTCCGCCTGGTCTAACCTTCACGGCTAGAACCCGCCATGCCACTTACATATTTGCAAACCACCCACATTCCCCCCGTGTACCATCGGCGAGAAGTAACTTCCACTCAAACAGCATCTTCCCGCGAGCCACTGACTGGTGCTATAGACTCCCAAACATCTTGTTCAAGTGTAGAGTTACCCGTTACCTTTTCCCACTATCTGCATAAACTACCCCTTTATGCAACCTTCTACCTCGTTTGGTCCCCAGACTTTGTACTGGGTGAACCTTACTGTAAAAAATATTTAGTATTGCAGTAGTTAAAATAAAACAATAACAAAAAAAGGAAGAAGGAGGTGACAGAAGCTGTTCAAAGTTCTTTGAAAATAAAACACACATCTGAGGATAGTTGGAAAACACACCAGTCTAAACTTCGTAATCAATAACATTATTGGACGGCTAATAGTTTGAATAATTCAAAGATTAGTAATAAGAACAATCTTTGTCTTTTTAGTTAGCACGTACGTATTTTATGGTTATCTTTTTTGGTTTAGTTTGGTTTTATTTTGTTTTACGGCATATTAACCATATTTAATGCCTACACGTTTTTTAGGATAGGTTCGGATGAATAGAATATATATTCTTTGGTTTATTTTGGTTTATTTTGATTTACGGCATATCAACTTCAATGGGTTATTTAATGCTGACACGATAGCTTTGTATGAATAGAATATATATTCTTTGTAAGAAATCAGTTTGTAGATCAGGTTTCATTGACGTATTTTTTGTAAGTTGTTTTTTGTTGAGTGAATTTTTTAAATGCATTGTTGGTAAGGTTTATTTATTTTTCAAAAATGTATTGTTGGTAATTTTCCCTATAAAAGTTCATTTTTATACTTCCATAATGGCTTGAGCCCAATTTTGAGGTTAACTATTTACCCATAGTTGGGACCTTAACAGGTGCTACCACTCCGGGTCAGGGAGGACTTGGGAACAACAGCATTCAAGAGGTGGTTCCACGCTCTTTTAAACCTCTCGATCTGAGGCCTTGCTGCCGGATGTAGTTTATCGTCATACCTAGGACGTTATCCTTTTTTTCAAAATTGTCACTTAAAACATTATTTTGATGAAACTTAAACTTAAAAAAAGCAAATTAAATTAACAATTTTTTTTTTTTCATCTTCAGGTACAGAGCACCAGAATGTCTGCTTACAGAAGGGTATTACTCACACAAAATGGATATCTGGAGCATTGGCTGCGTCTTTTTTGAAATTCTCAGGTATGAGAAACAATGACTCTGGATCATATTCTTCACGCTCGTTTCTTTCCCAATATATTTACCCCTACCCTGACAGACAGAAAATGAAAAATTAGATCTTTTCTTGATTTTTGACTGATGTTCCCAAAATGTCTTCTCAAGATATTAAAAAATTTTAAAACGTCAATAAACCCAACCAGATTGAAAATTTCTTTCGCATCCTGGGCTGAAACTTTTTCAATATTGAAAAGAGTGATAACAGCTACTGAATTTGAGGTTTGGTTTGGTTTGTTTTATTTTGCTTTACGGCATATCAACCTCAGTGGGTTATTTAATGCCGACAAGATTTTTAGGGTAGGTTCGTATGAATAGAATATGTATAAATATTTTTAAAAAATGTATTACTGGTAATATTTACTATAAAATCTATTTTTATACTTTTATAGTGTTTTGACCCCAGTTAACTATTTACCCATAGCTGGGACCCTAACAGGTGTTGCCACTCCGGATCAAGTTGGACCTAGGAACAACAGCAGTGTATTTTATCGTTATACCTAGGACGTACTGAAGTTGAGCAACTTATTTGACTGAAAATTTTTTTTTTTTTTTAAGGATTTTATAAATTCTAACCGAAAGTACTCACTGGCTGCTCGGTCAGTGAATACTGAATAATTCCTTATAAAATGAAACAGCTAATATAATCATTTTCCATCGTCTGTTATAGCAGTTCAATAAGTTTAATATCTGTTACTTGATTTTGAGATCTCAATTCGTGGTCCGCATCATGCTAATGGCTATACATAAGAATTCTTTTCTAAAGACTGGTGCAAAACTAGTCCTTTCTTCTTGTTTTCCTTTGAACTTGAGAAACTTATTTTCTGAATTTTTTAAGAGAAAAATTTTGAAAAGGTCAACCAGAGACAGTATTGTCTGCTCGGTCAATGAATTCTAAATGTTGCCTTATATCAAAACGTCTAATATTGCCAATGGAGACAAGTTCCTAAGCGAGGTTTCACGAACCCAGAAAGCTGAATTAAAGTTTTGACCGATAGAAATTCATATGTAACGTATTATCATTCAAAAATTTTATGCGGCCAATGAAAAAAAATCTTATATTGTACCGTATTTTCCGGCTAACAAGGCGCACTTCTTTTCTTAAAAAAAAATACATGAAAAATACGTAAGCGTCTTCCAAGACGAATGTAAAGCAACGACGGTCACCGAATTGGCTTGACTGATAGGGACGTGGATTTGTATGCTGAGTCATTACACTATGATATTAGCTATCTTAACCTCAGTACTTACCTGTTACAAGTATTTCCAAGATTATAAATCTTCCGGGAGCCGAGCCACAAGCTTAAACATGCTCTGTTTACGAGCAGCGACGGTAACCTTTCTGCTCTTGACTAGTATGACGTTGCCATACAAACAAAATCGGACGAGTGATTAATGTAAACAATACGTGACGCCAGTATGTGAGGGACGCATGGTGAATATGTTGTTGTATGAGAATGACTTTTTTTTTTTTTAGAAATTTCTTTCCAATATTAGGGTGCGTCTTTCAAGCCGCAGCGTCTTGTAAGCTGGAAAATACGATAATGCAAAATAAAAGTTCAACTGGAACTTTAGAGTGAAACAGAATAGTTTTCGTATTTTATTGAGACATCGTCTTTATCTCGTATCCAACAATTTCATTTCTTCTTTGCTGAACACTTTATGATGACGATGATGACTAAATTCATATATTAAATTGGAATTTGTCTATATTTCTGAGATGAGGCATTGATTGTTCAGACTGTTGTCCTCATCTGTATTGCCATATTCACGACGTTTGGGTCGTTGTACTCTCCGGCCTTCGTCAGGTGATTGTAATTACGAACTGAACCGGGTTAGATTGTTCTAGTTCCATGTGCCTCTTCCGGATCTCTCAGTTATTCCCCTTTAATTAAACCCTTCCGGTCTTTGTTCACTATTGCCGTAGCCTGGTATTGAAGTCACACTCTCTTGAAGTCACTGGATCCAACCAACGCTTTTTATCCACTGGGCCATGTGTCCTTTAAGACATCAGTGAATGAATTTTTGGGACTTATAAACTTTATATCTCAGTAACAATTTTTTTACTAGAGCTCATATTGCAATTTTGTTGTTATTATTGCTTTTCTTTAGCACTCCGTATTATTGGTTCCCATATTGCATTCATTTCTATGCTTGGCTGGCTCAGGAGATTTTTGTGGCCTAGCATATGTACTTCCAATCACCTGATGAAGGCCGGAGCGTATAATGGCCGAAACGTCGTGAATATGGCAATAAAAATGAGGACAATGCTCCGAACAATGTAAATAATGTAAAGCGTTGCAATACCCCAAATCAGAAATATAGACATATCGTTCGAGAAGGCCGGAAATAAAATTATTAAACTGTTGGTTTCGTGGATAAGGCAATAAAGATGAGGACAACAGTCCGACCAATGTAAATAATGCAAATGACTTGGAATTGCTAATCGGAGAGCCGAGTTCCAATTCTCGTTAGGTTCGTTATATTCACTTACGCGCAAATACTCTTGGGAAAGATAATGAATCCACATATTCTTCTCCCCAGCTATGGGTTAATTAGTAGGACTTGTACTACTAAATCATTATTATCTAAAAAAAATATTACAATCTAAAACAAGAAATATTTTTCTTGTTTTAAATAACTTTCAAAGTTGGCAACTTTAGGGTTGTAAAAAGAAGAATATGAAAAACTCATTTTTATTATTTTTATCCCTTGTTTTATTAAATGCTTGTAAACCATGAAAGCCTATGGTCCTATCGCACTGAAAACGCTTGTTCTTGTTTGATCACCGAAGTTAAGCAATGTCGAACCTTGCCAGTACTTATATGGGGGACCGGTCTAGAACGTTGTAACCAACTTCCTCTGATCCAAAATTTGTTTTGGCTTTAAATTTGTTTTAATTTTTTTATTTCCTGGTAGCTTATTAAACAAAAGGGACCAAGCGTCACTCAAGGTAGAAGCTTACTGAGTAGGTCTGTAAAGGAGAGGAAAGGGGGAAGTAAGAGAGTATTATGAGAATGAGTAGGAGAGATATTGCCTGACCTTAGACACCAAGATTGATTTCGTGTCCCCCCCAAAAAAATCAATGACGCGCCTCTCTATAACAAATCAATTTTCATGAGGTAGTATTCATATAAAATATAAATTTTATTGTAGCCTTAATTATGTACAATAATGGATCATATGCAATATAGGTGAACAATTCAACTAGAAAAATTGAAAATAAATACAATGTATCTAAATAGAGACATGTCATCAATATATCGTTCCATCTTAAATAAATCAACAAATGTTTTGTGCCAATTTTTAACGTCAACCTGAGATTTCATTAAAAAAAAATTAAAATAAAAAATGTTGAATCTATAATACTATAACACTCTGCTACATCCCAATTTTCATGAGGTAGTATTTATATAAAATACAATATTTATTGTAATCTAATTATGTACAATAATGGAAGTTATGAAACATACGTGAACAAAACAATTCGGCAAAATAAAGATAAAGACATGCCTTAATAGATTATTCCATCTTAAATAAATCAACAATTGTTTTGCGGTAATTTTTAACGTCAATCTGAGATTTAAAAAAAAAATAAAATAAAATAAAAAAATGATGAATCTATAATATTCAAGCCGTCACCCCCCCCCCCACATTCTGCTACATCCCAATTTTCATGAGGTAGTATTTATATAAAATACAATATTTATTGAAATATACGTAGGTGAACAATTTAACTAAAAAATTGAAAATTTGATACAATGTATCTAAATACAAATATGAAGCATGTCATAATAGATCATTCCATCAACTCTTTTTTGCAGCAATTTTTAACATCGACTTGAGATTTTTCTTGTTAAAAAGTTTAATAATTTGAATCACATTCAACATTATGGATAAAAAACAGTGAATTTTATATCGTGTGTTTTTTTTTCGAAACTTATCATGAGCAAAATAAAATTCACGGATTTCGAAGAAAAAAACCCAGTCACGGAAAAAGTTCCTGAAAATTTGTCATCCTTTAATAATAGTCAGTTGTTCGTAGTTAATAGGAGAACCGAGTTTCAGTTCCTGTTAGGTTCGTTATATTCAGTTACGCGCAAATACTCCTTCTTCACGATATGTTTATATTTCTGATATGCGGTTGTTGGGGATGTGCAGAATTAATTAATTATAATTGAGTGAATCAGAAGGAATTTTTGTAGGTTACGTGACTTTCTGCATCCACAAACAAATAAATAAACGAATTTTAAATACAATCAAAAACAAGACATATTCAATTTAGAAACCAACCAAACATTTATATACAATTAAAAGTAATATATATACAGGATATTTTGGTATATGTTACTATGGCAAAGTGTGTGTGATATTTGAGGTTTCAGTATGTCTCTCTTAGTATTTGTACGTTCATTTACAGTCTTTCTGGAATTGTGTTAATATTAAAAATGTCGATATTAAGTGTTTTTAGGAATGAGTTCTTATAGAGTGGTCTACCTTTGACTGTAGTATTTCTGAATCGTTCGAACGTTGATTTTTACTTAATATGTAGTGAATATAATTCACTTTGGATAAGCAAAGTTGTTTTAGGTTTGCGATTCGATGTCCACAGAGTTGGTCGAGTTTAAATTGCAAGTGAGTCAGCGTTGATGTACTTTTGCGCGGTAAAATTGTGATTTCGAGTGACGTGGAGTATGTTGGCAATTTCTCTGTGGATGTTCGTCTCTGACCCTTTTGGTCAGTCGGTATTTTCTTTTATATGTTTTGAAAGTCCAAAATCGGCTCAAAGAAGTTTTGGCGCAATTTTGTTTTGCACGTGAAACTTTCAGATTATTGTGTCGTTAACCAATGGGATTTGTTGATTCGCCTAGTACGGTTTTTATTGGTCGAAGTTTTCCGTACGTAGGCGTAAGACAGACTTTTCTGTTACTAGGGGTGATAGGTAGGAAAGGACGAGTCTACAGGGTATTGCAACTATTTACATTGTTCGGACCGTTGTCCTCATTTTTATAAATGTAGGTAGAAAAAAAAAACAAAGAAAAAAAAAGAAAAAATGTTGATAAGATAGCGAGGGTTACAAAGCACTGCCCGGACACTCAATCAATATTGCACCCCTCCGGTCTGGTTGGTGGGTTCAGGAGGTAGTACGGCCCAGCCCTGGAAACATCCTCTTGTGAATTTCTTCCACAAAGTAACAGCTCTGAGGAAGATGTGGAAGTTTCTCCTTATCAAAGGAACACAAAAGGAAAGAAAGCAGTTTGTTACCATGGATACAGCATGGTGGTCCTTAGCTGTGAAGATTTGAATTGGTGGTACTAAGGAATGTAACTCAAGTAGTAATAGCGATATAGTAGTAAAAGGCTGGCGATGTTTCATCAGGGTAATGAGGTTTAAAAGGTCGATAAACAGTAAAAAACAAAACAAACAAATCAATCTTAAAACAAATGTTATTGACTGCTACTTTGGCTTGTTATCGACAGTGAAAAAATATCTGCACCATACAAACGTTATTTTGGAATGATATCTACATATTATACATATATAATATAAAGAAAATGTAATTAAAATATTATTTTTTTTTCTTTTGTTTATATTCTAACGATAGAGTGGTTCGAAAGTTTTGTCACCCAATAACCAAAAAATAAAAAAAAAAAAAAAATAAATAAAATAAAATAAAAAAAATTAAAAAAATAAATAAAAAAGATGGTAATGAGAACAATAGACGAACAAGTAATACGGTAATAGAAAGCAAAGCACATGTAGTGAATCTAGGAAGGCTGCGTGAATATTTAAAATTGTGCTGCAAATAAAATATGCAATATCCACAAACATAAATTATAAGAAATGGCCAAACGGTAACGATATCCAATCACGACAAAAAATACATGTTTGAAACAACAGATAAAATTTTATATACACAATCTACAATTTTTTTGTTTGTAATGATGTGTGCAAAAAAGAGAAAAAGTTCTTTGCTGTTTTTGGAAATGTTCAATGTCGAAAAGGTTGATTTTTTTTTTTTTTTTGTTATGATCGATATTGAGTGAAAAAGTTTGTTATGTAAAATTTTCTAATCTCCCATAAAGAAAGTTTGTTTCTTTGGCGGCCATTTGACACATAATTCCCGTGTGTATCTTTCGCGTGTGTGAGTCTCAAATGCGACGAAAATTCGTTCGCTGTTTCTATTTATAGGTTTTTAACAACCAAATCGGCTCAACGGCGCTTGGTAGGTGTTGCGAATTTTTCTGGGAAATATGTGGGCGAATGTTGTATTTTTTATTTTTTAGCCAATAGGATTTCTTGAAACATTTAAATTAGGGATAAATTTGAGAAAGATTTTTTTTACGTCAGCTGAGCCTACTTTTGCACAAAATTTTATTGTTTTGTTATAGAAATTTCTCGAAGCTTATCTTATATTTAACAACAAATGAAATTCAAGAAAATGTTTGAAATTGAAATGAGGCTTAATAAACACATGTAGTGGATTCAGTTTATTCACTTTTATTGACGTTGTCACACATCGGGAAGGTCTGTATGAAGACCATCATTTTCGTCAACACAAAATGATGCTGCGCCATGTTCTGTATATTTTATGAAACTGTGCTTTTTGATTGCTGCAAAGGAACTTCATCCTTCAAGTGATGGGTATTATTGTATCGTTTATGGGAAACTCTCTCTCCTTGACGATAACCCACAGAGCGTTGAAATAGAAAATTATATGTAGAGGGTGACAAAACATTCGGACCACCCTGTGGATTCATAGATTAAATTACAAAACATCCTTATAAGTAATCAAATAAAAAGCTGATAAAAAGTGAGGGATCAATCCGAAAGTCTTGTCACCCCCTACCAAAAAAGGTAATGAGAACAATAGACGAACAAGTAATACAGTAATACAAAGCACATGTACTGGATTCAGTTTATTCACTTTCATTGACGCTGTCAAACATCGAGAAGGTCTGTATGAAGACCACCAGTTTCGTGAACAGAAAATGATACGGCGCCATGTTCTGTGTGATATTTTACGAAGCTTTGCTTTGTTGATTGTTACAATGGATCTTCGAACGGCGTCCTTCAACTGATGGGTATTGTTGTATCGTTTATGTGAAACTCTATCCTTGATAATACCCCACAGAGCGTTGAAATAGAAAAAAGATTTTCGGACCACCTTAAAACGTCTACTTCGTACAAATTTTAATATGGAATGATATCTGCATAGTAAAACATGTTGCTACTTTGGCTTGTTATCTGCAAGGAAAAGATGATAAGCCAAAGTAGCACCTTTTTCACTATGTAGCTATAATTCCGAAATAAAATTTGTACGGTTAGATATCTTTTTCCGTGTATATAACAAGCCAAAGTAGAACCGGTTAGTGTATTCCTTCTCTTTCACTAAGTCTTCAAGCAGACTAACGTTGTTGTTTGAATACTGTAATAAATACCAATATTCTAGAAACTCCTCAAAAAACCTCCAACAATTTCTTTGATTCACCAAAAACAGAAGTGTGTTACTCAAAGCAAATTACTGTAATAATACGGTTTTAACTTTCAAAATAGGAGAGTGAAACAAAGGGAGATAATCGTTGTTGACTCAAAAGCGGTAAATAAGTCTTTCAGTCTGTGTTTCCTTCTCTTTCAGCCTGCATCCATTATTTCCCGGCGCAAATGAAGTCGACCAAATCACAAAGATTCACGATGTTATCGGAACTCCTGACAGCCGAATCTTGTCAAAGATAATGAAGTAAGTTAAAAAATAACGGTATTTATTCTGTGAAAATAAATCACATTGGTTCACACACCTCCCCAGTCTTTTGAACAGGAGTACAGGTTTATCCCTTGTTTCCTGTTTAGAATTGAGCTTCCGGTCCTTTCTCCTAAAATCTTCTCATTTTCTTTCACTCGCGCACCCCAGTAAACTTCTTGCGTGTTGGAAGGACTACCGTCTTGAAATTGATATATATAACCTTAAGTTCTATGCTTTACAATCTCATCTCCCACATTTCTCGTTTGTGGGATTCTCTTTCAGCTTCTTGCTATCCGGTCGTCTTTGGTCTTCAAAAATTTAAATGCAGTGTTAATTGTTATCTTTTGTCTAATTCCTGTTCGTTCTCCTTAATAGGAGGCGCGATGGGGTAATGGATAGCGGCTCGGATTAAGAATCGGAGAACCGAGTTCGAATTCCATTACATTCACTTACGTGCTAATACCCTTGGGAAAAGTATGAATCCTCTTCTTCTTAACCCCCACCCAAAGCTATGGGTAAATAGCAGGACAGACCGGGTTCTATAACCTTGGATGGCAACTGGTCTACCACAGAAAGAAATGGCAACCTATTGCAGGAAAAAATCTACTTCGTCAGTCATGTGCCGAAAGATACATGATCGCCTACGCGTGTACCACGAATAGCACACAACTAACTGACTCCTTAATAGTATTTTCGTTTTTCTCATATTCTCATATTCTTTGCGTCTTAGTGGCATTATCGCCTTGCTTTGGGTGAATTCATTAAAAAGTCCTTTGTTATTACTATGTATGATTTGTTTCCATGAGAACATATTCATCATCATCATCCTGTGGCCTCAGCCGAGATTGAATTCACTACACCTCTCCAGTATTCTCTATCCGTCATAGCTCCTAAAAGATCTTCCTTAGGGATCAATGTGTCTTGTTTTATCCTATCTGGAAAGGTTAACTTGCGTGATCGATTGTCAGATTATGGGTGCCTCCAGAGTACAAATGATGACACAAGTTCATCAGTGGCACGTGCACAATGCCCGGCGAACTGGACACGTCTTTTGCATATTATTAAACACTGAGTTCCTTGGATTATAAATCTCTCGTTCTGACGAGTCAATTTAAGGACAGATTTTTAATCATTTCACCCCAAGCAAGGCAACAATTCCACTAAGATACCAGAGGTTATTAAGAGTGAAAGAGAGTGGGAATATGTTAGTGAGGAGAAAGGGCAATAAAAGAACAGCGTGGATTACTCCACTTGTCTTTGAGGGGCGTTAGAGGACACTATTGAAATGTATAAAAAAGCAATTACATTCTCTCTCTTACTTTTGCTTCTAGATTTGGTCGTACGTAAATAAACGACGATGCCGACAGGGCGCGTTCTCTTCCTTGGTCCACTGTTAACTTTTGAACTCACTTGTTATTTATACGAGGCCTCCATAGAGGGCGTTTTTAACGTGGGGGTTTCCGAGCGCTTAAGTTAGGGCAAAATTTCCCCGTAAACCCCGCATAAACGGTGTCGGGCAGCTGTCTACCACCCCAGACGAGACTCTACCCTTCGGCATAGCTTCGTCTGAGTTCCTCACTGCCTTCGGGCATAGAGTTTGACTAGCAGAGCTTTAACGAAATCTAATCGTTTACCTTCTCACACAGGCGTCAATCACACGATTATTTCACGCAAACACCCACCCACAAGCAAGCATATAGATAATTTTAATATATTTTCCTTTGATTACAATGAAAATACATTTGTTAATACACGCATTAATTGTTTTTTTTTTGTTTTAAATTCATTGTTTCGAATTAATTATTTTACCCGGACTCACATGAGCGCCCTGGGTATGACGATAAACTACATCCACCTCCAGGGTAAGACGATAAACTACATCCGCGTCCAGTGTAAGACGATAAACTACATCCGCGTCCTGGGCATGACAATAAACTACATCCGCGTCCTGGGTAAGACGATAAACTACATCCGTGTTCTGGGTATGACGATAAACTACATCCGCATCCAGGGTAAGACGATAAACTACGTCCAACAGCAAGGTCTCTGATAAGGAGGTTTTGAGGAGCGTGGAACCACCTCTTAATTGCTGGTGTTCCCAGGTCCAACCTGACCCGGGGTGGTAGCACCTGTTAGGGTCCCAGCTATGGGCAAATAGTTAAGCCCAAAACTGAAGTAAAAAGCATTATAAAAGTGTAAAAATAGTTTTTAATGCCAGAAATACTTTGAAAAAAAATTATTACCAGAAATTAATTTTTGAAAAAAAATATTCCCTGCAATACGCTTTTGAAAAAAAAATTACCAGCAATACCTGTAATTGTACTCAAAAATATGAGTAATTGAAAAATGGTTGAAATATATATGTATGCATATACACCCTTTTTACCAAACTATCGCTATGTATCTATTTCAAAAATTTTGTTGGCATTAACTGACCCACTGAGGTTTTGATATGCCATAAACCAAAACAACCAACCAACCGGACTCACATGAGTCCGCCAATAATATTTGCGGGACAAATGTTCTAGGAAGCCATAAATATTTACTATAAATGCACCTCGCAAACAAACAGGTGATACAACAGGATTTAGGAAGACAGAAGATAAATTTTGGAAGATTGTAGAGGTTAATCCTTCATTTCCAGTTTAGGATTAGGTTTCCAGTTCCTTCTCCGAAAGTTTTCTCGGCAAACTTTAACTTTATTAATGCCCACAATAAAACGATGTGTCTTTTTTCCTTGACATGATTATTATTTTAACTAGCATCACTCTCTCGGCAATGCATGCTGTTTAAGGAAACGATGATTAGAATTTTAATAAAACCCAAACATATGAAAGTCAATTTGTACATTTTTTTTTTGTTCTTTGAGAATTTACAGCGAAAAATAATAATAATAATAATAATAATCAGGTCGAGAATTCTTCTTGGATTCTCATGATTCCTTCCTTCCAACCATCTCTGTCAGATATCGTCGTAGGCAGCTCCTCCAGATGGCATCTAGAGTCATCTACAAGTTGGTCAATGTACGTGTGATCAGGTTTTCCAACCGATCTTTTGCCGCGCAATGGGTTCTATAGGAGGGTGTCACTCGCAGGTTCTGGCTTACTTCTGCAAGAGTGACCAGCTAGCCGAAGCCTTCTCTTCTCGGATTCTCCTGATTCGTTCCTTCCAACCATCTCTGTCAGATATCGTCGTAGGCAGCTCCTCCAGATGTCATCCAGAGTCATCTACAAGTTGATCAATGTACGTGTGATCAGGTCTTCCAACCGATCTTTTGCCGCGCAATGGGTTCCAAGTTCTGCCTTACTCTGCCAGGAGTGACCAGCTAGCCAAAGCCTTCTCTCCCTGTAGTGAAACTGAGATAGAATGACGGTATCTATATAGGCGTTTCTTTTTTGGGTGTTTCTACCAGCTGATGTCCAATGTAACTCGTTACATCCTTGTGTATGTTCCGTCAAGTGATGCTTCTTGGTGTTTCGTTATTGTCCATGTTGTTGAGCCGTAGAGCAAGACCGATTCTACCGTGGCTTTAAAGAAGTCCCTCTTAAGATTGTCAGCCATCAAGGAGGTTCCTTGATGGTATGAACACCATCTGGAATTCCTCCCTCTCTGACAAAAATAATAACCTGAAAATGTGAAACCTAAAAATGCGAACATTAAAAATGTTAACCGTAAAAATGCTAATCCAAAAATTCTAAAACTAAAAATGCAAACCTAAAAATGCAAAACCTAAAAATGTGAACCCCCAAAATGCTAACCTTAAAAATGCTAACCCTAAAAATGCGAAACCTAAAAATCCTAAGAATGCGAACCCTGAAAATGTGAAACCTAAGAATACGAACCCTAAAAATTCTAACACTAAAAATGCGAAAGCTAAAAATGAGAAAGCTAAGAATGCGAGCCCTAAAAATGTGAAACTTAAAAATGCGAAACCTAAAAATGTGAAACCTACAAATTCTAACCCCAAAAATGCTAAATCTAAAAAAGCTAACTCTCAAAATGCGAATCCTAAAAAATTCAAACCCTAAAAATGCGAAACGTAGAAATGTTAATCCTAAAAATCCTAAGTATGCAAACCCTGAAAATGTGAAACCTAAGAAAGCGAACCGTAAAAATGCTAGCCCTAAAAATGCTAACACTAAAAATGCTTAAGCTAAAAATGCTAACCCTAAAAATTCGAACCCTAAAAATTCGAACCCTAAAAATGCTAACCTTAAAAAATTCGAACCCCAAAATGCTAACCTTAAAAATTCGAACCCCAAAATGCTAACCCTAAAATTCGAATCCTAAAAATTGAACCCTAGAAATTCGAACCCCAAAAAATGCTAACTTTAAAAATTCAAACCCCCAAAATACTAACCTTAAAAATTCGAACCCCCAAAATGCTAACCCTAAAAATTCGAACCCCCAAAATGCTAACCTTAAAAATTCGAACCCCCAAAATGCTAACCCTAAAAATTCGAACACTAAAAATTCGAGCCCTAGAAATTCGAACCCTAAAAATGCTAACCTTAAAAATTCGAACCCCCAAAATGCTAACCTTAAAAATTCGAACCCCCAAAATGCTAACCCTAAAAATTCGAACCCTAAAAATTCGAACCCTAAAAATTCGAACCCTAGAAATTCGAACCCTAAAAATGCTAACTTTAAAAATGCGTAACCTAGAAATGCTAACCCTAAAAATGTGAAATCTAAATATGCTAAACGTAAGAATGCGAAACTTAAAAATGTGTAACCTAGAAATGCTAACATTAAAACTGCGAAGGCTAAAAATTCTAACCCTAAAAATGCGAAACCTAAAAATTCTAACCCTAAAAATCCGAACCCGATAAATGCAATCTTGCATATTAAAATCTTTTGTCAATTTTCAGTGGTCAATGTTCCAGGACAAAAAAAAAAAAAAAAAAATGACCAGGAAATCAAATACTAATTTTCAAGGCAAATTGGCCAAACTCTACTTAGAAGAAAAGTGCTATACAATCCTGCTCAACATCATATGTGACTCCGACTCTGACCAATCTGAAATTTGTATTTAACCGAACTTCTTTCCATAAACTGACCATTTAAATAGCAATGGTTAACAAAGATTTTTTTAAAGTTTATAACTTACATTCGTCCTTACTTTTTAAGTCTACCATTCGTCCTTGCTTCGAATATTTTTGGTCTGGTGCTCCTGCTACATATATTAAATATTCTTGATAAGATCCAAAGAAGAAACGGCAATGTAAGTAGTCACAATGTGGCATCTCAGCTTCAGTCACGTAGCCACCGCCGTAGCATCACTTCGTTGTGCATTTTCTAAAAATACTTTAATGGTAATTGTTCTGATAAACTTTCCTGTTTAGAGACCCTGAGGTATTATGGTGACTGTAGTAAGTATTGTAAATAAGAATGTGTTGTTATGGTGAAAGAAATATTGCACTTTGGTCTGGGTCAGTGATTGTGGCTAGATGAAGTTGAAGATATGACAGTTTGAAGACCAACCTTTCCCACCCCTCTTTTAGCCTTGTACCACGATTTTGTATAAAACAAAATAAATATCACTTTCCTCTATAGAATATAGTATTTATGAATTTAACCGCAGTATTGGATTGGTGTCAAGGTCTCATCATCTTACATTTGGAATAGCCAGAGGTAAAATAAAGTTCTATGCTAACAGTTTTTTCTCTCGCACTTCTCGCTTGTGGGACTCTCTTCCAGCTTCTTACTTTGATCTCCAGAAAATTAAATTCAATTTCAATCGTTATCTTCTGAATTCGTCTTTTTTTTTTATTGTTCTCTCTCCTCGATAGTGTTTTTTTTTTCTTCTCATATTCACTAACTCTCAGTAGCCCCTTGTGTCTCAGTGGATTTATTGCCTTGCTTGGGATGAAATGATTCATTTTTTTAAAATCTTTATTTGGAAAAAAATAATAATTGTATAATTAATTTCATAATAAAACATAATACACATCTGGTAAGAATAGGCCTAAAGCAGAATATGAAATATTATGAAATATGAAAAATAGGCCTAACGCATAATATGAAATATTATGAAATATGCAATATGAAAAATAAGCCTAACCCATAATATGAAATGTTATGAAATATGAAATACGAAAAATAGGCTTAACCCAGAATATGAAATCTGAAATATGAAAAATAGGTCTACCCCAGAATATGAAATATTATGAAATATAAAAAATAGGCCTAACCCAGAATATGAAATATTATGAAATATGAAATAGGAAAAAAGAGGCCTAACCCAGAATATGAAATATGAAAAATAGACCTAACCCAGGATATGAAATACTATGAAATATGTAATATGAAAAAAGGCCTAACCCAGAATATGAAATATTATGAAATATGAAAAAGTGGCCTAACCCAGAATATGAATTATTATGAAATATTAATTATGAAAAATAGACCTAACCCAGAATATGAAATATTATGAAATGGGAAATATGAAAAATTGGTCTACCCTGAATATAAAATATTATGAAATATGAAAAGTAGGTCCAACTCAGAATATGATATATTATGAAATATGAAATATGAAAAAGAGGCCTAACCCAGTATATGAAATATTATGAAATATGAAAAATAAGCTTAACCCTGAATATGAAATATTATGAAATATGAAATATCAAAAATAGATCTAACCCAAAATATTAAAAAAAATCGATAAAATAATTCAGAATGTTCCCTTTCCTGAACAGAATGTCAGCTACGTGTGTCCTGATAGATAAGATTGGGTAATCCACACAAGACTTAGTATAATTTATACTTAATTAAGCTTAATATGTTGCCATGTTGGGCTTGATCGATTTTCTTGTTTTTTGGGGGGGTGTTTTTAATAAATTCTGTGTATCACTGATGATTCCATACTCATTTGTTCTTAAATGTTTTGGTAAGCATCTCCTTTGACTTTCAGATCTTCGCGCGGAATAAACTACAATTTCCCGCCAAAACGTGGAACGGGAATTGAAAAGTTGGTGCCACACGCATCTCAAGAGGCTGTCAGTCTTATGCAATGTCTGTGTACTTATGACCCTGATGTGAGGATGACTGCAAAACAAGCTCTGAAGCATCCTTTTTTTAGGGAATATTGGTGAGACTTTTGGCTGTTTTCTTTCTTTCATGATGTGTAAAGTCTTCTTAGGCACATGAGTTAAATGGATGACCATTACTAGTGACGTCGATCTTCGTTGCTGAATCCATACAACATTTGACATTAAATAACAGTGTTGAAACTTTATAAAATCAACCAATCTAACGTAACTGTTTTTGTATAATAAATGCACCTCCCTAAAATTCTTTACTAAATCTCATATTCTGAACAGGTATTTTAGAAATTTGGAAACGAAGCATGGTCGCTGTCATTTATTCTTTTTTTAAGATATTGAATAATTATAGTATAGATGAAATAAATTATACTATATTTTGATGCTAATTTTGTTGTTTTTTTGAATATATATATATATATATATATATATATATATATATATATATATATATATATATATATATATATATATACCTCGGGGAAGATTATGTATCCAAATTTTGTACCACGAGATTGTGTGAGATTAAAAATTCGGATTGGCCGTAGAAAAAAATCTCCCTGTCGAGGACTACTGGACACGTCTTTTGACCTTACTGTGTTAGCTGATATATATATATATAATTTTTTTTCAGATATTAAATAATCATAGTATAGATGAAATAAAATATACTATATCTTGGATGCAAATTTTGTTAATTCTGATGTCCTATTATATATATATATATATATATATATATATATATATATATATATATATATTACTATATTTTTAAAAAACGCGCACAACTTTAAAATTTAAAATTCAAACCCAGCATTGCGACCGCACGTTCCAAAATAATAACACATTTCTCATAGCATTTTTTCGGATTACATCTCTATTTTCGTTGTCCTCTTATTACCAAGAAGTAAAAAACAAGAACAAATCTATTTCCATACCTGAAGATGTCTGTAGGAACAGACGAAAGCTTGTAAAAACTAAAAAAGACCTTATGAAACTGGAATTTATAAACAGGGATCATATCATTCATATACAGGTTTGGGGTTAGTGTAACTTATTGAAATTGTTTGCGAAGATGTATTCTCACCATTTAAATCATTAACCTCTATATTTGTTTTTGTATGAATGATTCATGTAATTATAAATTAAACTGCACCTATAATCGAATATATATATATATGTGTGTGTGTGTGTGTGTGTGTGAGCTAAAATATAGTTTTAAGGTGTACTATATTGAATGCATGTAAATAATAAACAAATTAATGCACTACAAATGTCCACGTGAACACAAATAAATGTAATAATAATCAACAAATAATCAACAAGTAATCAACAATACATACTGAGTAAAATGTTAAGAAACAACACTATAAAATAGCTACAATAGTTGCCTCCGGATCCACAATTATTTCGACTCAAAAAGCCTCTAGAATAATTGGAAACATAACCCAATAATAATGTTTCTTATTTTTTGACAAGTGGACGACCCAATTTAAATAGTGTCTAAATAAGGAAAATTATTTTGCCCTTGTACATGAAAATGACGTAAACAAAGTGTAGTATACAATTTTTTACTTGCATTCCCCAACGACATAATTCTCTACTTTCAAAAACTATGGCATGTGACCTACTAATATTAAGAGTTGCCTTGTGAAATCAAACGAGACATTTTTTCCAATAAAATCATTAAACTGGTTGAATAAATGAAAATCCCATGTTGTACTGTTTTAAACTTTATTCAACTACCATATTCCTTCAGATGGAAGAAGTCATTGGTTTCTGCTGCAGGGCCGGTGCGTGAGGAGGGGGAGCCTGACTGGGGACCCTGGGTAGCGCTTTGTGACCCTCGCTATCTTATCAACGTTTTTTTTTTTTTTTTCTACCAACATTTAAATAGCTTACAAATTAATCTAAGCACAACTATTAATCGGTGAAAAATTTCTGTGGATTTTGACGTCAGTCTTGGGTTTTCTTGTTTCGTCCAAGTCCATGAATTTGTTTTGCTTCAAAAATCCCTATATAACATTCATTATTTTGTTATCTATAATGTTGAATACGTTAAAATTATTCGTCTTTTTAACAAGAAAAATCCCAAGCGGATGTTAAAAATTGCTGCAAAACATTTGTTAAGATGAAATGATTTAATACATGTCTCTAATTTGTATTTAGATACATTGTATTTATTTTCAAATTTTCTAGTTGGATTCTTTACTTCTTATTGCATATGATCCATTACGTTATACACTTAGATTACTGTTGTAGCATATCTACGGACGATAATGGGTTATGTCCCCATTCACATAAATACAGTAGTAAATACTGTATGTTGGTCTGCAGTTGGAGATTCGTCTCCAGCTGTGCTGGTCAAACTCTCTGCCTCCAAGCCGAAAGGGTCCCTAGACGAGCCTATGTCGAAGGGCAGAGTCTTGTCTCGGGAAACAGCTACCCGACAATGTTTTATACGGTGTCTACAGGGAATTTTTGGCCGAGCCTACGGGATCGGATACCCCACATTAAATTCGGCATTGTGCCACGTCTGACCACGTGGGAAGGTTGGTAGATATTCTGCAGTTGGAGATTCGTCTCCAGCTGTGCTGGTCAAACTCTCTGCCTGGAGGCAGAGAGGGTCCCCAGACGAGCCTATGCCGAAGGGCAGAGTCTCGTCTTAGGAAACAGCTATCCGACTCCTGTTTTATACAGGGTCTACAGTGAATTTTTGGCCGAGCCTACGGGCTCTGATACCCCACATTAAATTCGGCCTTGTGCCACATCTGCCTGCAGGGGGTGATTGGTAGATATCATGCAGTTGGAGATACGTTGTGGAATTCACTTGACTCACTTCTAGCAGTTGACTACTTCTTCTATGCGTCACTGGCGAATCTTATATGTGTTGTTCTTGTCCTAAGTATTATCGTTCATTACCAACCTTCGTGTGATTATTCTATTCAGTAACCTTTCATAGGTTACAACAATTACAATAAAATTTGCATTTTATGCAAATACTACCTTGCAATGTAGTAAAGTAGGGGCCCCATATTATAGATTCGTGGGAGCACGACACTGTTGCACCAGCCCTGCTTCGCTGTTTCCTTTTATTAACATACTCATAAACTGTGCCCGTTACCGCTTAGTCTATAATTCTCTGTCTTGAATGGCTCCTAGGCCTTTATATCATTTTAAAAGAAAAAGGATATTTAAGATTTTCTCCCAAGAGTATACTTCTTTGATCTCTACAATTTCAAACTGTTCAATTCTTGTTTTAACCGTTATATTCCTTACATATTCTCGTAAACTGTGCCCATTACCTCTTACTCTGTTAACCTCTACCTTGAGTGGCTCTTTGGTCTCGTACAAAGTGAACATTATAGTAAAAAAAAAATCAAATACTGATTTTCGAAGTGAATCAGGCTGAGAAATTTTCAGCACTTTCTCGTAGCTCATAAAAATAATCCTCGTTACTGCTATTATTTGAGTTTTTTTTTCTTTAAAGAACGAAATGATCACTGGTTTATTAATTCTTGTATTATGTTAAAAGCTGACCTGAAAACGTCAGATTGACCCTTAACTGTTATGAATGGCAAAAGAATGTCTATATATGCGTTTTTTTTTGTTTGTTTTTAGGGAGTCGGAAGACGAAATCAAGATTGAGAAGCAATCGAAGACGTCTGATGATTTAAGTGTTGTTTGCCACGGTCAGGAAATGAACATGCTACCTAAGATAATGGACAAAAGCAAGAAAGATCCTGAGACCAAATTCTCTGTGATAAGAAACTTACCGAAGGCCCAATCACTCCCCACCCACCTTCGTCATCACAAAGAAAAGCGAAAGGTTAGTCAAAAAAAAAAAAAGAAAAAAAAAAGAAAAGATTTTGGGAGTAAACATTTGACACGTATGAGCTTGTTTGTTTAACTAAATATAATGACTGGTCGCTCGTTTCTGAATATGTTTATTTTCAACAGCGTCTAGCTAATCCCTGTTGCAGACGCCTACTCAGGCATGTTTGTGTTTAGTCAACAACCAAAGAGCCAAAACTGTGGTTTACATAGCAACTATGCTGAGCAGGCATTAGTTTCTGGGAGAGAGAGAGAGAGAGAGAGAGAGAGAGAGAGAGAGAGAGAGCCTTTAGTGTGCCACAAAGCAGATTCCTAAGGCTTTGGAAATTTATTTCGTTAAATATAGGATGGAACTGTGGAAAATATGTTATACCTAAATCATTCCAAAGATACTGCCACTTCCAATTTTTGAACCTCCGACGAAGAATCTTTGAAGAAGACTCCTTGTTAGCCTTCTGTTCTGTCTGTCCTTAATAATAAATATTAAATGAAGGTTTTATTCTTGCTGCACAGGACCAATACTCGACAACTCGAAATTGCCAAGGCCACATACTGAAAAATTGTGTTAACCCAAAGGCAGATTCTGTGATAAATACCCAGAAAACAATTACTCATCTTGTGTCAAGTTGCACAGTGTTATAAGAGAATTTCTATGGATATTTTATTGCCAAAGAACTCGCCATAAGCTTATTCAATCAATAACTAAAAAATTCAGATTAATCAAAAAATTCAAAAGGGAAAAACGTCAGGAGTATTTCTAGTTCTCCGAATAACTGCATTCACTGGTTCCCAGACTTATGAGTTCAAGGACCCTACGAGGCTGGCATCCCGCTCTCACCCTTTCACTGTTGAAACTCCTAAATGTAGCTGTCTCTTCTACTCCAATAGCTTCATGTCTCCTTGTTCTCGCCTGTGGAACACCCTTCCCTATTCCAGTTTCCTGAGAGCTATAATCTCCAACTATTCAAATGTAATGTCAATCGACATCTCCAGTTGCCTTGATCTATCCACTACCCTTCTCCTTATCCTTTCTTCTATCACTCCTATCTGATCTTGCTCCAAATCTTCTGTAACCCCTTGCGTCCTAGTGGCTTCCCGCCTTGCTTGGGGGTGAAATGCTTAAAAAAACAAAAAAAAAAAAACAAACAAAAAAAAAAACAAAAAAAAAAAAAAAAAAAAAAAAAAAAAAAAAAAAAAAAAAAAAAAAAAAAAAAAAAAACTCTTCCATTATTTTCCATCAATTGGAAAATAGCGTCATTTTTTTAAATCAAAAAAAAGAAAAAAGAAAAGGCAGTGTTTGACAATGTTCAGCAATATTTATAATTAAAACGACTATAAATGTACCTATACGTATTAATGGCCTCCAAATGTAATACTCTACCTCGAGTTTATTTTTCCCCTTTAATGGGTGACTGTAATAAATAAAAAAAGGGAAAAAAAATGTTCATATTTATGATTATTATTGTTTAAGTTTTCAAGCTCAATTATTGACGATGAGAATTTCTCGGATATTTTATAGTCTTCAACTCTTCCATGATCTTATTCAATCATTAACTGAAGAATTAAGATTCATCAGAAAACTGAAATAAAAAAAGCCATGAAAATTTCATGGGGCTTTCTAGTTATTATTATTATTATTATTATTATTGTTGTTGTTGTTGCTGTTGTTGTGTTAAGCTTCCTGCTTTGTTTCCTGTAGAGCTGGGTCCAAACTATGGTCCTTAAACTCTATAGGAGAATTATCATTTAATTGATAGCCCTTTTCTTAGTATATCAGATGTTCCTAGGAGGACGATTTTCTGGACAACTTATCATTATTATTATTATTATTATTATTAGTAGTAGTAGTAGTAGTAGTTCAACACTAACCCAAATTAAAAATCAATGCTCTCTGTTGTTATAGTGATTGCAGACATATCCCCCAAAATTATGAAGGAGAGAAAACAATAAACGAAAAGAATTAAGAAGATAAGGATAAAAATCCCTCAAATATTTAACCCTAACCCTTTTCATTTGTACGCCCTTACTTCTTATAATGACCACCATTCATACTTATGATTGTTATTGCAATATTTTGTCAAACCTGTTGAGCCCAAATATTTATCTTTGCAAATGAGGGAATTTTTACATATATTTTATTGTTGTGGAACTCACCATGATCTTATTCAATCATTAACTGAAGAATTAAGATTTCTCAGAACACCGAAATAGAAAAACCATGAAAATTTCATGGGGTCTTTCTAGTTGTTGTTGTTTTTGTTTCTGTTGCTGTTGTTGTTCTTGTTGTGTTAAGCTTCCTGCTTTGTATCCTGCAAAGCCGGGTCCAAACTATGGTCCTTAGGCTCTATAGGAGAATTATCATTTAATTGATAACACTTTTCTTAGTATATCAGATGTTCCTAGGAGGACGATTTTCTGGATAACTTATTATTATTATTATTATCAATTCAAAACTAACCCAAATTAAAAATCAATGCTCCAGTTATAGCGATCGTGGACTTATACCTTAAAATTATGAAGGAAAGAGAACAATAAATGAAAAGAATTAAGAAGATATCGATAAAAATAGCTCAAATAGTGGAATTTCTATGGATATTTTATTGTGATAGTACTTGGCATGAGCTTATTCAATCATTAGCTTTTCATCAGAAAATTTAAATAAAAAAACTGTAAAATCGAGTGAGTATTTCTAGTTTGGAATAATTATAGTTTTCAGTGTTGGATATTATCTATTATGCATTTTCTGATGATTTTGCTGAAGAATTTGTCATCTTGAAAACATTTTCTCCATTTTTTTTTCTAATTCATGTTTCTTCTTGCTTCAGAGAAAGCACAAAAAAACGCAAGAAAATCCTGATTTCGTTACCCACACAGGTCTTCTGCCAAGACTGAATGTGCACTCAACATCAGTCGGTCCGCTATCAAGAATATATCCGAATGCTTTCAATTCAAATGCAAAGTTCAATCCAAGCGGAAGCTTGACTCTTCTGCCAAATTTACCTCAAGTCAACCAATTCCAAAAGGTAAGAATGAAACATTCTCTTCATTTTTTTTTATCAATACAGCTTCTGTTGGCTATTGAATTATCATATCACCTTTTCTCTTTCTTTCACTCAGTCTCTGTTGTCTATATTTCTGAGAGGAGGTATTGTAACTCTTTGGCTAGAAATGAATACAATATTGGAACCAGTAATACAGAGAGAGGAGTCACGGTGGAGTAATGGATAGCGGTATCGGAGAGCCGAGTTCGAATTCCAGTCAAATCCATTACATTGACTTACGTGCTAATACCCTTGGGAACGGTATGAATCCTCGTCTTCTCCCTCCAGCTGTGGGTAAATAGCAGAACAGACTGGGTTCTATAGCTTTGGATGACAACTGGTCTACCACAGAAAGAAATGGCAACCTACTTCAGGAAAAAAATCTGCCTCGTCAGTCATGTATCGAAAGATAGATGATTGCTTAAGTGTGTATCACGTATGGCACATAACTGACTGAATACAGAGAGCTAAAGATAAGACAAGAATAGCAAATAGAAGGTGGGAATTATAATATGAGCTCTGGTAATAAAAAAATATAATTACTGAGACGTTAGGTTTATAAGCCTTGAAAATTCACTCACTAGTGTCCCCAAGGATACAAGGATAAAAGCGTTGGTTGATTGATCCCAAAAGTGACTTGACCCAAATAGTTGTGTGTTCAATCCTTGGCCTCAGTTGAGAGAACCAAAAAAGGGTTATCAAGGTGAATTTACTAGAACTGAGATATACAAAGGCTTGGTATGTGAAATTAGAACATTCTATACCCCCGTGGACTAAATGAAAGGCTCAGTTTGAAATTCCAACAAATGCCACCTGAAGAAGACCAGAGTGTATAACAGCTGAAACATTGTGAATGTGAGAGAAAAGATGAGGACAACTGTCTTAAAAATGTCAATAGTGTAAATCAGTCTCGATTATTTTCTTTAAGGAAGATATTATAGAAATCTTTCTATAACACTAATTCATATTGTTTTTGATTCTCTTCTTCAAGAAAAGGTTTCTTAGTCCAAATTAATAATCATTCCTTTGTCTTTCCTGTAATAAATAGAAAGAAAAAACAAGAAGCAGAAAAAAATGCAAAAACAGAATGTTGCTCATCACTTGATGGTGTTTTAATATTTTGATTGCACTTTTGAGATTGTGAGCAATTTTAGATTTTGTTAGTTTTGGTCATTCATACTTCAGCAGTATTATTACAAGTATTAGGTGGTAGCCTGTCATATGACATAGTCTTAATATTGCGATTGTACTTTTGAGATTGTAATTTTAGATTTTGTTAGTTTTGGTCATCCATAATTCAGCAGTATTATTACAAGTATTAGGTGGTAGCCTGTCATATGACATAGTTTTAATATTGTAATTGTACTTTTGAGATTGTGTGAAATTTTAGATTTTGTCAGTTTTGGTCATCCATACTTCAGTAGTATTATTAGAACTATTTGTTGTTTGTCATATGACAGCATTTTAATATTGTGATTGTACTTTTGAGATTGTGAATAATGTCTGTTTTGTTCATCCATATCAACTGTCTCAATAGATCTGTTAATATCATCTGACTGTGTTTAAATGTATGCAATATACTTATGCCATTGTGCATGATATTAGTTTTTGTCATTTTTGTTCATCCATACTTATAAATTTAAGCAGATTTTCATAACTTATGAGTAAAGAAAATTAATTTCATATCCTTTTAAC